GGTGCGGCGCCGTGCCTGTAGTCCCAGCTGCTTAGGCGAGAGTGAGGCAGAAGAATGGCCGTCGACCGGCCGAGGCGAATGCTTGGCAGTGAGACCAAAATCGGCGCCACTCGCACTCCAGCCTGGAAGAACAGCCCGAAGACTGTCTCAAAAAAAAAAAAACAAAACAAAACTAGAGAGGGTTTTCATGACAACTGACTTCCCTTCTGGAGAACTGCATTTCATTGGATAAGGGAGATTCAGGAAAGCCCCTCTGTGCATTTGCGTTTCCCAACATGCCTTCCAGCTTGAAGTAACCAGCAAACCCAATTCAGATATTTGGGCTGTATTTCCTCGATCGTGTCCTATGACAGCCAGTGCTTCTCACATGCTGTTCAATTTACTAAATTTTTTGTCCCATTAGATCTATCCTTTCTCCTTCTGGTTGTGAAATTTATCAATTACTTCTGGTAATCTAATACATTTTTTGTTTATTTACAGATGTCTGCCAATCTTGAGAAATTGTTTTCTTTCCTGCATAAAGTTCTTTTTATCATCTAGATAATGATCTTCTTTATCCTAAGAATGTTTTTGTCCACTCTCTCTATCTTGTTGATATTAATTAATTCAGTCACTCACTCAGCACATACCTGTTGAGAACTTTTTTTTTTTCCCCGAGTGGGAGTTTCGTTCTTGTTTGTCCAGGCTGGAGTGCAATGGCACGATCTCAGCTCACTGAAACCTCCGCCTCCCAGATTCACGCGATTCTCACCGCCTCAGCCCTCCCCAGTAGCTGGGATTACAGGCATGCACACCACGCCTGGCTTATTTTGTTTTTTAGTAGAGATGGGGTTCTCCATGTCGGCCAGGCTGGTCTTGAACTCCCGACCTCAGGTAATCTGCCTGTTGGCACCCAAAGTGCTGGGATTACAGGCATGAGCCACCGTGCCTGGCCTATTCTTTTTTTTAGCTTCCCAAAGTGCTGGGATTACAGGCGTGAGCCACCATGCCAACCGAAGAAACAGATAATTCATATCTTACACAAGCAGTTCAAGAAATTAAGAGGGAAAGTTTCCCACATAATTTTTTCCCAATTCATTTCTGAAAAAAGCATAAAAACCGAAGGAGGCAAAAACAAGAAAAGTATAGGCTGGGTGTGGTGGATCACGCCTGTAATCCCAGCACTTTGGGAGGCCGAGGTGGGTGGATCACCTGAGGTCAGGAGTTTGAGACCAGGCTGACCAATAATATGGTGAAACCCTGTCTCTACTAAAAATATAAAAATTACTCAGGCATGGTGGCAGACACCTGTTATCCCAGCTATTTGGGAGGCAGAGGCAGGAGAATCGCTTGGGCCAGGAAGGCGGAGGTTGCAGTGAGCCAAGATTGCGCCATTGCATTGCAGTCTGGGCAACAGAGCAAGACTCCATTAAAAAAAAAAAAAAAGAATAGGCCAGGCACGGTGGCTCATGCCTGTAATCCCAGCACTTTGGGTGCCCAAACAGGCAGATTACCTGAGGTCGGGAGTTCAAGACCAGCCTGGCCGACATGGAGAAACCCCATCTCTACTAAAAATACAAAATAAGCCAGGCGTGGTGGTGCATGCCTGTAATCCCAGCTACTGGGGAGGCTGAGGCAGGAGAATCGCTCGAATCTGGGAGGCGGAGGTTTCAGTGAGCTGAGATCGTGCCATTGCACTCCAGCCTGGACAACAAGAACGAAACTCCCACTCGGGGAAAAAAAAAAAGTTCTCAACAGGTATTGCTGAGTGAGTGACTGAATTAATTAATATCAAACAAGATAGAGAGTAGGACAAAAACATTCTTAGGATAAAGAAGATCATTATCTAATGATAAAAAAGAACATTTTATCAGAAAGAAAAAATATTTCTCAAATTGCAGACATCTGAAATAAACAATAAAATTATTAGAATTACAGAAGTAATTGATAAATTCACAACCAGAAGCAGAAATGGATAGATCTAATGGACAAAAATTTAGTAAGACTTGAACAGCATGTGAAGAAGCACTGCCTCATAGACACGAGTCCAGGAAATACCAGCCCAAATATGCTGAATTGGTTTGCTGGTTACTTCAAGCTGAAGGCATTTGGGAAACAGCAAATGCACAGAGGGGCTTTTCCTGAATCTCCCTTATCCAATGAAATGCAGATTCTCCAGAAGGGAAGTCAGTTGTCATGAAAACCCTCTCTAGGTTTTGTTTTTTTTTTTTTTTTTGAGACAGTCTCGCTGTCTTCCAGGCTGGAGTGCAGTGGCGCGATTTTGGCTCACTGCAAGCTTCGCCTCCCGGGTTCACGCCATTCTTCTGCCTCAGTCTCCCTAGCAGCTGGGACTACAG